GGGGGGGGGGGGGAGGTCCACTACAAACCACATTTGATAGCGAAACGGGTGAGACGCCGTTCAAATGGATGCTGGAGACCCACTTAATGGCAATCAAGGGTTATGCAATTCATTATCAAGGGTAAACTACATTAATTCACACAGCTTGGGTCCACTTTGGACTGACCCGTAAAACTAATCACAGCCTGCTAGCCTGTTCCTTTCCTTAACGAGCCCTTTTTCATGCCCTTCATCATCTCTATCGCCAACTGGTTGTGGGGCCATCTCTCAATAGGGCAGCCCTCCAGTCTGGCTCTTTGCCACGACAAGGAAGTAAGTGGCCTTGATCCACGAAAGTGCGGTTCACCGCCAGGGAGAGAGACCGGGCCGAGGGGCTTGCGGGCCTTCGTGCCTACACCTACACACACACGCCTGTCACTGCCTCAGGCAGCCCGGTGTCTCGGGGCGGCCCTCCGTGGGAGGCGGCTTTCGCTCCCCCACCCCCGGCTGGGCGCCGAGGACGACCTCTTCCCCCCCGCCTCGCTCCCTCCTCCCTTCCTTCCCCGCCCGCTTCGAGCCCGGTGTCTCGGGGCGGCCCTCCGTGGTTGGCGGCTTTCGCCACCCGGCTGGGCGCCGAGGAGATCGGGAACGGGAACGGGAACGACCTCGCTCCCTCCCTCCCTCCCTCCCTCCTTCCTCGCCCGCTTCCTCGCTCACCCAACACGAGCACCATCTGTCCACACAAGCAGTAGTACACGTGGAGGGGCTTCTCGCCGTCGTCGTACTCCTCGCGGTCGCGGGTGTCGGAGCAAACCACGGAGCGGGACACCACCTTGGGCATGGCGGGCGGCGGCGGCGGGAGGGGCGCCCTCGGAGCCTACGCCCGTCCGGGCCCGGGCCGGGGAAGAGAGAGAGAGAGAGAGGACCGGGACGCCACGCAACGAGGGGGGGGCGGCGGGCGGCGAGGGCAGTCGCTTCCGGGTTTCCTCCGCAGGCAGATGCGTCGCGCGGCGCGTCCTCTCGACGTCACTCCTCCGGCACCCGAGGCGCCCCTTCCTTGGGATGACGACGACTCCCAGAATCCCCAGCGCGGCAGGGAGGTGGCCTTCTGGGAGTTGTGGTCCGCGGCCGAAATTCACGCCGCCCAGCTCTGTTGCGTTGGAGCGGGGACGCGGAGGAGCGGAGGAAGGGGGGGCGGTGGGAGAGAAGTCCCGGGTTCGATCCCCCTCCGTCCTCGCCGCGCGTGTGAGCGGAAAATATAAGGTCGTTTTTTAACCAAGGGCTTTCCTTGGTGATTTGTTTCCCCCTGGTCTGTAAAGCAGCTTCCCCCCCCCCAAAAAAAAATTGGTACCTTTTAAGCAGGTGAGAGTTTGGACGCCTCTCCCAAGGTTTTCCTAGGGAGGTAGAAACCACTTCTGAGTCCTCTGTAGCTATAAAACTCTGGCAAGGGTCGCCATAAATTTGAATTGATTCGTCGTCGTCATCATCATCATCATCATCATCATCAATGCCATTATGTATTAATTACTGAGAGGTGATTTACCAGGCTCTCCTGGTGACGCTTTGGGACTGTGCAGGATGCCCAAGGCTGCACCAAGTGGCAGGACAGAGTAGACCCTGTCTAGATGGGGCTGGTTATAAATCTAATAAAACAAATAAATAGAAAATAAAGAAAGTATGAGGCCACCATCAACCACGTAGGCTCCAGATGATCGTGGGTGTAAAATCACAATCCGTGCTACGGAGTAAGAAGCTGCAACACATCTGGAAAGGGACCCAACTGGGGGAAGCAGCTCTAGAGGCAGGTGGGCACCTCCTGACCCTCCAGGCTCTCTTTTTCCACCCTCACCGTTCCCATCCTGGCATGTTGTTGGCTGTACTCTCGTAGGCTGATGGGAGTTATAAGCCAAAATATATCTTCTGGGGGCCCCATGTTGCCTGCTCCCGCTCTAAGGCCATGGTAGGCTCTACCAGACATGGTTAAACTGCAGGTCCCATCAGCCTTAGCCAGCAGATGACAGAAGTGGCAGTTGATCATCTGAAAGCGGTTTTGGTTGTTGTCCGTTGTGGGTGATGGGGTGGAAGGCACAGCGGTCAGTGGTGGGTGAAGCCTGGGGTGTGACATGCAGTACCAGGGACCAAAGTGGTTTTCTCTCTTTCTTTGACACACACAAACATTTATAGGCAGGCAAGCTTTCATGCATAAACACTGCAGAAGGGAGCACTGGTGGGGTCTGGATTGTCTTCTTTAGGAAGGAGGCAGGTGGGGTGAGTGAGACTGGGATTAGCCCATGTCCAATTTGCAGTCTGAAGGATTGCAATGGATCAGCCCTCTTGCATGCACAGGCATGGGTCCCTTGAATGACCCTGTGAAGTCTGAAGGATTGCAATGGATCAGCCCTCTTGCATGCAGAGGCTGTATGACCCTGTGCACCTTCCTCCCTGGCACCATCCCTTCTTGACTTGCAGTCAGACTGTGGGCCCCATCTGCCTGGCACCCTCATCAGTACAGAAATGTTGCGTAGATCCACACACACATTACAGTACATTGACTCAACATCACCAGTGGGAATTGCTGTGGCAAGACCTACCAGAGCTTCAGAATTTGCCTCATTGTGCTAGGGTCAGCAGAGCCAGGCAACTGCTGAAGCCGACAACCCTGCCAGGCTGACCTCCAGGGAGCCCCTTGGCGCTGCTGCAGCTTCTTGCTGCCTCTGCTTTTTTATTTGCCTTTTCTGAGTCTAGGAGCAGTGACAAAAAATGAAGAAGAGATGCTGCTCCTCCTTGGCTTTTCTCAGTAGGCAGGGATGTAGATTGAGTCCAGAGAGGGAGGGCAGTTAAGTGGGAAGCAGTGGTCCTGGGAGATAGAGTTTCTCTTTAAGACCACAAGGGCTGGCTGGGGAATTCGAAGAGCTGTACTTTTTCCAAGATCTGCTGAAGCAGGACACCAGAAGAAGTGAATGCTGATCTTGGTACAAGTCCTCTAATAGTTATTTATTTAACTGCCAAGATCTGCTGAAGCAGGACACCAGAAGGAGCGAATTCTGATCTAGGTACAAGTCCTCTAATATTTATTTATATAATTGATTCACAAGATTTTTTTTCAGCCGCGCCATTACCAATGGTCTCTGAGAGGCGCACACCAATATTAAAACTTTAAAACCACATTAAAAACCAGTAAAATAATAAAGAATATTATAATAATACCCTATATTAAAAACAGTCAATTTATCATTAATAAATCCTGCATCTCATATGGCCCGCTAAAGAATACTATTTAATTAAAATGCTGGCTGAACAGAAAGGTCTTTGCCTGGCGCCGAAAAGCCAAAAGTGTTGGAGCCAAGCGGATCTCTATAGGGAGGGTGTTCCAAAGTTGGGGGGCAACAGCTGAGAAGGCCCTATTTCGGCATGCCACTCCCCCTCACCTCTTTCAGGGATGGCACCTTCAGTAGGGCCTCCGGCCTGATCTTAGAGGATGGGCAGGCTCGTAAATGGAAGAAGGCGGTCCTTTAGGTAGCCAGGTGCTAAGCTGTGTAGGGCTTTATATGTTGAAGTAAGCACTTTGAATTGGGCCCAAGCAATACCTCCCGAATCTCAAAGCTGGCATCAGAGTGGTGTTTGTGGGCTGACTTTCCAACTTCCAGTGTTCCACAGCCTGGGCTTATCAATATGAAACAATTTAATAGAAAACTAATCCCAGTTAAAAGATCCTTCTGCAGCAACTGGAGTCAGCTACTAAAAGGTCTTTGCCTGCCAGTGGTAGACCTAGGCTGCTCTGGACCTGGGTTTCATGTTTGGCAAGTGGCCACCAAGAATGGCTTCTCTCAGGTCTGCATCAAATGTGCCCCAAAAGGTAACAAGTAAAAACAGAGCTTGCCCTAAAGATCTCAGAGTTTAGTCACTGTAGTGTGAAATAATGCAGTCCTTCAGAAAACAAAGGTCCTATTTATTTTATAAGATATATTCTCAGACACAGTGTCTTTAAATATATCGTAGCTGATTTATAAACTAATTTTTACTGTTGTTTATTATGTGCCCTTGAGCCAGAACTGACTTCTAGTGACCCTAACTGGGTTTCCAAGATACGTGAGGTATTTAAGGAATGGTTTTACCAGTTCCACACCTGCAGTGACTTTCGATGGCAGAGCAAGGAATTGAACCCAGGTCTCCTGAGTCATAATAGCCTACCTCTACCTACTGCTCTGCACTGGGTACTTTTATTTGTGCTATACATAGCAAAAGATAAGTCTACATTTTAATTGTATATTTGTATTTATAATCTTCCCAAAACTGCATGTGTTTCATAGGTTTTCCATATGGTGGCTGCTCTTTATTTATAAATGCAAAAAAGAGATACCTGGCAGCTGCACTCCGCATATTTTGGTCATTTTTCAATCTGGTAGTCCTTTTTTTCTGACCAGGCAAATTTATGAGGGCTTGCTAGTCACTTATATATTTATTTAAACTGTTTTGCCCACCTTTCCTCCTGAGAAAGGGCCCAAGGCAGCTTACATCATGAAAGGTAAAGGTAAAGGTTCCCCTTGACAATTTTTGTCCAGTAGTGTTCGACTCTAGGGGGCGGTGCTCATCCCCGTTTCCAAGCCATAGAGCCAGCGTTTTGTCCGAAGACAATCTTCCGTGGTCACGTGGCCAGTGCGACTTAGACACGGAACGCTGTTACCTTCCCACCGAGATGGTACCTATTTATCTACTCACATTTACATGCTTTCGAACTGCTAGGTTGGCGGGAGCTGGGACAAGCGATGGGAGCTCACTCCGTCGCGTGGATTCGATCTTACGACTGCTTGGTCTTTCGACCCTGCAGCACAGGGTTCTGTGGTTTAGCCCACAGCGCCACCACGTCCCCTTCACATCATGAAAACACAATATTAAAACCAAAAACAGTGACTCATTCAAATATATAAAAAATTCATATCGTTATATTAAGAATGTTCTGTAAATTATGCTAATAATGTTATGCAAAGCATTAGGTAACATATTACAGTACTGGAAACAGATTTAGTAGGAGCTTCTCCAATTTTCCAGAGTCTGGCAGCCAGATCTTGGAAAAATTTCCTTCCTTCCTTCCTTCCTTCCTTCCTTCCTTCCTTCCTTCCTTCCTTCCTTCCTTCCTTTTCTTTTCTTTCTCTCTTTCTTTTTCTTTCTTTCTTTCTTTCTTTCTTTTTCTTTCTTTTTCTTTCTTTCTTTCTTTCTTTCGCTCCCAGAAAGCTTATGCTAAATAAAACCTGTTAGTCTTGAAAGTGCCCTAATTTTTAAAAATTTTGTTTTGCAAATAATAAAGAGGTGAATGGATTTAACAGAGGAAGGGGAACCTGCCAATGTACTGTACAGCTTTCAATCTCTGTGCCCATAAATGTCAATGCAGGCACAATAAGACGTCCTGCACTGCGAAACTGGCCAGGATCGGGCTCCTAATGTTGTCATCCTAAACTAGAGCCCCGCCCAGAGAGCGTGGCTTCTAATTCCATGTCAACCAATGAGGAGGAGATCAGGGGTAATGTAGAGTTTCAGATGCTGATGTTGCAATATGGTTTCTCCCTCCTCTGCTTCCTCCCTCCATTTTCTCTCCCGTTGGTATCGTCCAGAATCCTTGGGTTGGCGTTGCCGCCTACTCGTAACTCCGCTCTCGGTTGGTATCGCCTTGTTCCCTCATAGGGTCCCGCCTCCTGCTTCCTCACCTTCCCCCCCCCGCTTCGTGACAGCGCGTTGGCACA